AATCAAAAATTAGATTGTTTGCTTCTTGAAAAAGGTAAATATAGCTCTCATAATTCATTGATTAGATTGTGTGATTATTATCAGATGGACCAATTTTTGTAAATTTAAATTACTCCGATTTTGTTCGAATTTTCATTTTTAATTAACTTTTTCGTCATTATTTCGTACATTAGTATTTCCAACAATCTTTATAATGTCCGGAACATGCATTGTTGATGAAATTCCCAACAATATTTTTCATTTTATTCTTTATTGTGAAAGTTAATTGACCTAGTTTTACCTCTCACTTCATCTTTTTAGCATCCAAGTATTCAGAAGAAAACAATCAAGAAAAAAAATTTGTAACTTAAAATTACATCTCCATTTGTTTTGTAATTTATGAGATTTGAGGGCACATTAGATCAACTTGAAAGATTTTATTTATTCTAAACTTTAAAGGTAATGTTAAGAAAATTTCTGTTGTCCAATAAAAGTATAAAGACTAAATTTATCAAAAAGAACAATACTTATTTCTCATTTTCAAACTGATAAATTTTATTCTTCAGAACTTTTTTAATGGTAAATAAAAATTGTAAAATGTAGAAATTATATTTAATATGTTACAATCAAGCTAAAGTATATGCTAAACTAAAGGTCCGGAATTTGGAAGGTAGCATCTGGATGATTTTCTTACGGCATCTTGCGCACACGAATTGTGACTAGGTACATTGCAAGGTACATCAGGTCTTATGACGTGCAGAGCTTGCAAGTGGCTGGGATCCCACTAAAAACTATAGGTCTAAAAGGTATGGTACAATAGATTCTTTACAAATTGAATCGCAGTGGCTCCAGCTGAAAGACTGGACCCTTCACACATTATTATATGCTAAACTTAAAATCATAGAAATTTCAAAGCTAACATCAAAAAATCGATCGAAAACCAAAATTACAACTAAAAACAGTGAACCCTAAAAGCCAATTTGCGAGTTTAATATGAAAAAGGTTATTGATTTTATGTTTCGATTAAGGTTCGATATCCCAATTTTATTCACGGCACTCGAGTTGGCTTTAGATTAGTATTTTTATATTCACAATTTACTCACGTGTAAATGTACATATTAATTTTGTCAGATTAAGAAATCAATTTTTCGAATAATTTTAGTAAACGAAGCCAATTTTCCAAGAAGAAAAGTTTGTGCTAGAAATTTTACATCTACCGCAAAAAAAAAAACAGAATTCAAATTGGTTAATGCATTGCTGATAATACGCTTTCTGTAAGCAAGCAAACAATCCAGTAAATCAACAAGAAATTTAAATAACGAGACATCGTAGAGGCTTCTTGTTTTTGCATTTGATCCGTGCTGCTTTATAGAAGAGCTGTATTGTTTTTGGACAAGGTTAGAACATTCTGTATTTTTTATAAAATTCAACCACCGATGAAATAAATTTTTAAAAACCAGTCTAGTTTAAACCTTCAAACATATCCTGAGAGAAGCTCTCCTAACCCGGTTAGCTTTTAAGATGAATTGTGTATACTTTTTTTTATATTTTTCAGTTATTTAATAAGTTTAATAAAATTATCAAATTTTATAAATGCCTAATCATCATTGATTTTGCCTTAATATTTAGCTATTATCAAAATCAGATTTGTCTTCAAATTCTTCAATTTTCCAAAATGCATCTTTATCAATCGTCTCTTAATGACTGAAGTTTAACTGTGGCAATGCAATTCCAGATGTTTTTAATTTTCAATTCATTTGCAAGATCGAAAGATTCAATTCCTAGAATCACGGTCTCTAACATCCACATACTACTACCTTCAATCGTATCTAAAATCAGTACTCGACCGTTAAAAAAAGAAATAAATTAAGAGAGTGTTTTAAACAAGTATAGAAAACTTTATGTTTTCTCAACATAGGAAGAATAACACAGCTTAGATAGGTTAGTGATCACATGCATTAAAGTAAGGAAATAAATAATTGGATACAATATTCCATTGATTTTTTTTTTTTAATATTCATTGGAGTTTAAAACCGCCAACTCTTAAAAGATCAATGAGAGAAATTTATTACAAAGCAGCAGTTAAAACGATATTAATTCAAATCTGCAGACATAAGAAAAAATGAATATAAAAGACAATTTTCACACATCAATTGAATGCTCATGTTCTCATCTGTGAAAGCTTTTTCAGAAAAAATATAATAAAATAAAAATTCATTAACAAGCGAGTAAGTAAATAAACAAGAAATGGATTTAAGGTTGTGGCTTTTAGATAAATTGCATTTTGCAATATCATCCATGAAAATGAACAAAGTGGATGAAAAGAAGAAGAAATAATGAGATATGTGAGGTTTTCTTAGACTAATGCTTTTATATTAAAAGAGAAATGAAGTAAATACAATTTTTAAGATTACAAAATTTCAACACAATAAAATTCTCGTAGCGCATGCTGTAATAAAATTTTAACGGTTGATATAATTTACACCATTTACTATTTTTTTAAGGATTAGAAGGTACCCAGTCAAAGTAAGTTGGAGCTGAAATTTTATAACAAAAATTTGTTTTAATTTGATTTATCTTGGGAAAAGATTTAGTTTTCCTTTTCTTCATTAACCATTTGAAAATTGGATTTATAACTTGTTCCCTTTTCGAACATTTTCAAACATATATGCTGTTTTCAAAAGTAGCCATGCACATTTTTTGAACTACAAATTTGTTCACAGTCCTTTTATGAAAAATTAAAATTTCACTTTCAAGACTCAATTTTATTACATCTTTCTTTTATTTTTTATTAGTTCCTTTCCCATTTACTTGTAGATTTTTTTTTTCACTTTCAATTTGATAAAAAACGTAAGCGAAGAAAAGAATCGGTGAGAAGCAAACCATAAACTATGTTGCTGTATATTTAACTCAATATTATTTCTTTATACTTATGGCTCAAAAAGTTCCAATGTCAAATTTCGTATTTTGATTCTTCCTAATCATTTTGCTCTTAAATTTTCTCTTTTTTTGAAGTGCATTATTGCTGCATACACTTTGTTTTCATTGTAATTATCTTAATCGATCATCAAGTCAATTGAAGCCAAACAACAACCAATTCCATGAATGAGAAAATTGAGAAAAAACTTTTTGATTTCATTTTTTTTTGCATTAATTAAAGAAATTTATCTCCATTTTATAAGTTTATCTGAAAGTTAAACATCAAATGATTCTTAAATAGTAAAGAGGTTGAAATATGTCTATAATTCAATATTGACTAAAATAACTGAAGTCATTTTGAATTGAAATTATTAACGTCATATTATATTGTAATTAACGAGAAAATCGCGAAAAACTGAGTCAAACAGTTAACATTTAACCAAAAATTCGATAACATAATTTTTTTTGTTTTGCAAACTTAATTAAAGAATTTTGATAAAAATGGTTTATAATAAAATAAAGAAACCATAAAACCTTCCATTGTGAATGAGAATCCTGCTTTTAAAATGTGTCAGTTTTGTTTACCCACAGAATTGCCCAAAGTGAAATTTTTTTTCTTTTATTTCCGGAATAAAAATACTCAAGTTCATCCAAAACGCTCTTAACCATACTAAAATGATTACAATGAGAAGATCTTATTACCATCAATATATCACAAAAAAGCAATAAAAGCAATAATCGTATTATTATTATTACAATTGTAAATTATTGTGGCATAAATAAATACATATATCTTACATTTCTTTGATGTAGTGAAACTGATCTAAATGTAACATGCACATAAATCTATCACGAACAATAAATCTCGAACTTCTTACTTTTCTTTTACAAAATTCAAATTTTCTCTCAAATTCTACAATTTATTTGGCAGCATGCCACAAAGTAATTATTTTATCACTCGCTGCGCTGTATTTAAAAGAAATAGTTTTTTTTTATCTTTTAAGACAAAATCAAGTGATTTAAATGCATGTACAGTATACATCAAAACCACTAGATAATTAAAATAATTGAACTAACAGCTAATTACAAAAACAACAAGATAAGATTGTAGAACATTGAACTCATTTTACTAAAGTAAATTTTAATCCTAAACCGAGGATTATCAACGTTCGTGAAATTCACTGTAATTCTACTAATAATACTTTATAAGTATATAATTGAAATCTAATGGTGACTTTTTCTTTAAATATAAAATAATATTATGGAATTTGATCATTAGTCATTATTATTATTTTCAAGATTTTTTTTGCCAATTCTCGATTAGTTGAAATTTGAAAATTCATATAATTCAGCAATTTAAGGCAAATACAAAGTTGAGTTTTTTTTTGAGAGTGAAATTCTCTCACCATGATTATGCTTTATCCATCAAAAACAATGAGAATTCGAAACTTCTTAATCATATTCAGTGTACGCGCATAGACTGACGCTCGAAAATTTTACTTTTCATTCATAAAGCATTGTGAGCATTTTTTTTTCATGCATTTTTCTTCATGCTTTCTTTCTCAAAAATTTTTATGCTTATAGCTGAGTCTTAGCTTTCTTCTCGAGTTGGATTTAGTTTTCATTATTCCGCGGGCATTAGAAGCAGCAAGTTGTACATTTTTTTATTGATTGTTCGCGCAAGAAATCTTAGTTTATTATATATATATGTAAAGATATTTTTAGGGTAAGAAAGGAGAAGAAAATCAAAATCACGTAAAGCGTATAATTTAATTCTATTGAATTTTAATTTAATTTATGTTGAAAAGAGAACAAAAAAATTGTTGATTGTACTGGAATTTTTATTTTCAACTAATGCAACGGAATTCAATTATTTTTTTTTTATTGAGAATTTCATATTAAGCAGAGCAATAATTTCAGAGTAACTAAAAAAGTAGTGATTGAATAATTGTGAAGTTTGTGAATATTGAACAAGACTTGAATAAAATAAAAAATTACGAAAGTGAATTTTACCAACAACAAAAAACATTAGTTTAGACCACCTTTGTTGTTCCGAACAATAAAGAATAGGTACAGTAGTGGAAAGTTGAAAAAACAAAAATTTTAAAACATTGTGATATATAAATAAAAAAGATTTGTGAATTAAGTAATAAATAGTTGAGAAAATGTGGGTAAAAGATTCAGTGAAAATTATATTTCTGTTCTCATTTTTCAACATTTTGTCAACATCATCGTTAAAACTGCATTTGAATGAAAATGAAACCGAATCTGATGTTGATAATGAATCGCTACCGAGTATTTGGGATGACGAAGTTGTCACTCGAATGGTACGCGAAGTGTTGGCAAGAGATTTGTATCAAGAAAACGAGATAAAGAAAACAAGAAGACAGTATAAACGCGAAGTGCATTCATCTGCAACTGTAGCGCCAAAATCCAGCAGTGAATTACAAACAACCAGAAAAATGGCATCAGTAACGACACAGAAAGTAAAGAAACCATCAAAAGTGACTCAGACAGGAAATAAAAACAAAAATCGTGTCACTTTACCAGCATCAATTACTTCATCGAATACGACAAAGGCTACCGTTAAACCCAACGTGCAGTCAACTGTTAGTAATATTAATTTGGGAAGTGTTAACTCTTCATTGAAGATTAAGGTAAGGAGGGATAAAAAATTAGATAGAATTGTACTCAAAAGAAAGAAAAGCCTCTTCATGAAGCATACTAAACAAATAAACAAATGAAAGACAAGGAAATTTTATTTTCTTTACTCGTCTCTTTTACGTTTATTTTACAATCAACACACGTGTGATTTTAAATTAAAATTGTATAAAAGTTTCATGCGTTCATTTTATTTATTTATTCACGATTATGATGTTCATTCTTTATTGTTAGCATAAAACTACTGTCATATTATTGTTATTAAAACTTTATACAAGAAAATGTTGTGAAGATTACATTAAAATGTGTGCATCGTATTTATAAATTTTACACTTACATAACGTTTTAAATAACTCTCTTTTCCATGATCATTAACTATAAAATTGCTAGTATCAAAAAGTTAAAACTTTTTCTAGAAAATAACCAGAAAAATAAGAATTATTGATTCATAGCCATTTTTCTCCTTAGGAATCAAACAATTAAAAAAGTTTCGAGATTATTCTAAATATGTTCCAATTTCATTAAAATGAGGAAATTGTTTTAAAGCGCATAATTGAATTAACCGCAAAGCATAATAGAATATAAAAATTTAAACATGCAAGTTCGCTGAAATTTTAAATAAATTCTTCATCGTATTTTCTTAACATAAAGAACTGATAACATTTAACTGTCGATTCCGCCTTTTCATTATTTTCTTTTTACCACGTTTATTCTCATAAGCATTGAATTTTGTTTATAGTTTACTAGGAAATAAATTTAAGACATGGAAAATTGATTTGTTTCTTGAAACAATAAGAATCTTATGCTAAGAAATGAAATAACAGTTCTTTTTGCTTGCTATACGATTTTTTTCATTCATTCATTTTAGCTTTAATAGTATTATAGAGATCCATTTCAAATAGATTGTGCCACATTAAACATGAATTTCTTATGTTTCAAAACCGAAACAGTGTTCAGCTTAAGAATGAACACATAAAAAGAGTACAAAACAAATCATTTTCTTTTGCGTTATTCTATTCAATTTTATTTTTGAATCAATTGATGTATCAATAAATATCTGTATTTTTTTATATTAAAGCATCGATTTTGCATTTATCTTGTGCTTTTTTGTTGCGCTAAAGAAAAATAGGAATTTGTCCTCATTATTTGTTTTAACAGCAAATTTTCTCTTTTAACAACATTATTTTTATGAATCAAAAATCATTCAATAATTAATAGAGAGAAAAATCAAAAAGAAAATAAAAAAACGACCCACATTGGTCATCTTTAAAAATAATGAAAAAAACTATTCATCAATGATTATAGACGAAACATGTCGAGAATATTGAAGCACTAATTTTAAAGCAATTTTAACTTTTTTTTGCAAAATAAGAAACTTTCTATGTCTATTAAATGCCTTAATTTATTTCTCAATAATTAGCAAAAAAAAAAATAAATTGAATTTCTTTTATAAATTCAAATCTTAATCATCATATGAATTTATAATGGGTAAATTGACAGCTCCATAGCATATCGAAAAAATATATTTTTTTTTGTTTTTGGAAATAAACATCAAAACACCTTTAAATTAAAAAATCATATTTATTATTTTTTTTCTTTTAAAAAAAAATTCAAAAGAGAGGAAGAAAATCTAATAAATTATTTTTCTCATTATTTAAATTTTACCAATTTTGCAAGTCACTCTAAACGTGATAAATTTTAAGAGCTGACATTTATTGGCTTCTGAAGAGAAGTTTGTGACGAGCTATCAATATAATTATACAGATTTTTTTACACGTAAAACAAAAAAACTTTGCAGCTTCAAATCTTTAAATAGCTTTCAATTAATTTCAATTTTTGCAGGCAACAACCCCACCTACAAAATACCATTACTATCCTCACAATCAACATCCATATTTTCTGCCAGAATGTGCGATTCAACAGGCAAGTAGAAAATAAATGAACAAATTATTTTCAACATTCAAATATTATTATTTTTACTGGATGTAATAGGTTTGCAACGCTGTATACGTAAGACTGAATTATACACAGCCCCTATGTGTTTGTCCTCCAAGGTAAGAAATCATTAAGATAATTTAAAAAAAATTGCTGATCATCAGAAATAGATCTAGCTTTAAACTTTTCCGCGAAAAGAAAATTAAAGAAATGAGAGTTACTTCCTTACATTCACTTTTTTTAAACATTTGTTTTTGGAAGAGAAATTTATATTTAATTAACTTTGAGGACCATTCACTATGTCGTTTTATTGTGTAGTAGGAGGGGTGGGTTTATTTAAATTTAAACAAGATTATTTTCCTCTTTTAATTTCCATGAAATGCAATTAAGCATTTGGCAAGTAAGAAGTATGAAGATAGCATAACTTTTTTTTTATTTGAAAGGGAAAGCTCTAGCTTGTTTCTAGCACACAATTTATTTATTTACTCTTTCAGTTGAGTTGTTACATGAACTTTCATTTAAATATTATACTTAGTAGCATCTCATTATAGTTTTCTTAATTGCTTCGCAAGAAAGAAAGATGTAATAAAAATCACTATTGACTAAAAGGAAATAATAATGAAAAGTAAAAATAAAAAATACAATTAGAAGAAAGAAAGAAATTATAATTTTCTTTCAAATCAGCGCATCATTGTACAATTTCAACTATCTGAACTCACTCTATTGAATACTTCAATCATTGCGAAGGCAATTGTATGCAAATTAATTTAAATAGAAAGATTGAGGAAAACAAAAGCAGTATTAAGAACCTATTGGAATGTTATGAGAAATTTTATCGAAATTTTAATTGGTCTCATGTTGCTAAGCGCTAATCCAATTATAAAATGAAGAGTGTCTTAAACAATATGAAGTTGATACTGGTACAAACTTTTCATTTTCTAAAAACATTAATCTTAAGATCTAAGTGTTTCACTGTAGCATCATGTGAAAGTAACTTTTGAATTTCTTTGACATTTTCGTGCATTTAAAAATGAAATTCTTTTCTTTTTTTGGCATTCTCCTTTTGGTTTTAACTTGCTTATTTTAAAAACAATGAAAATAAAAGTAATTAGCTTGTGTAAAAATAATCACTGAGCTTTTCTTAATATAAATCAAGCTAATATGATTTACGATAATTATGTGTTAAAAAGTGTGCATTATAATCATAGATTTATGGATCAAAAATCATAAAAATTTATTGATGCTATTAAATTGATTAAGCTTTTCGGAACATTAACATATTGACACAACAAAAACCTTGTTTTTGAAGAAAAAAATCTTTTAGATATGATTTATTATTGTTAACTTTCATTAGATTTAAAGATGTGCCGGAAAAAATAAGCTTTCATTTTTTATTCAAAGAATTGACAGAAATAAGACAGATCACGATCTGAAGAGCCCATTTTTTTATTGTTCAATTAGAAATTCAATAAAAACTAGGTTCAAAAATCTCAAATATTTAGTTTAAAAATGGTCATAACTAATCAAATAAGGTAAAAAATACTAGCGAACACACATTTCACTATTCATTCATATTTTTGAATGAATCAAAATTTTATGTCAGATAAATCAAGCTCATATAAGGTGAGGCGAATATTATGAAAAAGAAATGAAAAGAAGTAAATTGATTTTTTTTTCAGACATGTTCATTGTTTGTACAATTAAGTAAGATACAAGTTCAATGTTGTTGCCTTAATTTGTTAATTTTACATGCTAACATCACTCTTGATTGCTTGATATGTCAGTGGCGCTTAATTGATTTGTTTATATTTTACTTTTCTTTATTCATTTTTAACTACTGTATAAAAAATTCTTTGTATTTAATTGCAAAGCAGAACCGAGAGTTCATAGAAGTGTTCATAATATGAAATGTAGCTACATAGAAATAAAATCTGATCAAAATTTTGTTACCAATTTATTGATAAAGTAGCGGTAAATGCAATTTTGTGTAATCATCTTAACTGCATTATTTAGATATGATGGTTTTTATTAAAGAAAAAAAAGGAAGGAAAATAATAACTTCCAAATTGTAAGTGCTGTTTAAATCGTGTTGCATTATAAAATAAAAACTGTAAATTAATAGATTTTCAGCGAGAAATTGAAAAAAAAAATGGAAATAAAAAATCATAAAATGTGTCTTTTAAACATATTAAATAATTAAGCATTCACAATTCTAATTTTGTACTTTATATGCTACTAGGTATCGTGATCCATGCTCAGCGAGTCTTAATGAAGATGATAATCATACCATAACATTAGTTGGAAATGCAAATAGAAGAGCAGTGACATTAGCAAAAACATGCGAACAAGGAAATGAGTTGCGTGATTGTCGTGCTCCACGTGACTGGTCTATTTTAGCACTACAAAATACAAGAACCGGGAAGTCACATTATTTAGTTATTTGCAAATGTCCCAGTAACTTTAGATTAGGTATGTATATAATGATCAAAATTCAGTGGTTCTCAAACTTTTCTCGCGTTCATGCAATTATTTCGACTTGTTTACGATATTATTAGCGTATTACTACTGTCGTAGAACATAATAACATATCACACAACTTATTGCTCCATTTCTTTTACTAAGAATAAGAAATAATGATATATATTTTTCTTTTTCGCAGAGGGGCCATTACCTCACGATCAACCGACTTATGCGGGATTGCCTGGCATCAATGTTTTCGGGATGCTTTGTGTTCCTTTCAACACGCCAGCACAAGCAAGTAAATGGCGCCCAGTTATTCATACTTCATATAGGTCAAAAAATACAACCATAGAAGCAGTGAGTGAATCGCCCAATGATAGCAGTATGGAACCATAAAGTTTTCAAAAAGAAATGATTTTCAAAGCAAATAATATATTTATAACTTTTTCGTCTTATGTCATGCAAATTTACATTCAATGCTTTCTTTTCAATTGTTAAGGCATAAGTCTTCAGGGAAATTATTTCTGACATTTTTCCCATCTTTTATTACATGTTTTAAAAGAAGTTATAAAGCTTTCACGTCCATTATTGTTAAAAACAAAATATATTTTCAGTATTAAAAAAAAAAACTAGGAAAAAACTGTCTTAACTGGGTGCTTCGTAAATTTCGTCCATATTTTAGACACTTTTAATCATTATTATTATTAATATTACTATTCTATTGTCGAGATTAAAAGGACGTAATTAGTTTATTTATTTAGTAGAAGCATTTATTGCACGTAATTTACGAACTACCCTAGCAGAACTAAATGTTACTTATATATTTAAAGAAACAATAAAAAATTATTATAACACTTACCAAGAATATCAGCATTTGCATTAATACTCAATCTATATATTGGACCAAAAAGACGCTGTAGCTGGAAAGGTAGCTTTTGGAAATCACTTTGACACGCTTTTTTTACAGATGTTATAATAATTCCGAAAATAGAGCATTCACGTTTATCAATATTTTTATTCCCAACCGTATACACGTGTAATCTATTGGTTTTGTTCAGATTGAAAAATCAGTTTTTCGCACTTTGTGAGAAATTTTACATCATTTGCAAAAAACATTTTTTTTTAAATTTTTTATTTATTTACATTTAAATTTAAGTGTGTACAAAGTTTCTATACATTTTGTTGCTTTTTGTTTTTTAAAGTTTCAGGCATTCAATTTGCCTTTTGTGATGCTGGGTTATAAGTCCAGAAACTTTGAGTCAATGGATTATAAGTCCAGAAAATCAAAGTCACTAAAGGTTTGTAAGTACAGATACAAATTGCACCTGGACTTAAAAACCTCACGTACAGTTCACAAGTTCAGTTACAGATACAGCTGAAATTATAAACTGCACGAGAGGTTTTTAAGTACAGGTACATTTTATATCTGGACTTATAAACCTTACGTGTGGTTTATAATTCCAGAAAATTTATAAATTTTACTTAAATTCTTCCAGTGTGATTATAAGTCCATTTACATTTTTCTGGACTTATAATCCTAGAAAATTATTCGAAATTATTTATTTTTTTTTTCTTTAGTAATTTTGAAAAATTATCCATTTGACAATATGTATCTCTTTTTATATTCACACCGTTTTCACGTGTGAATGTTTTGTTTTTGTTCAGATTGAAAAATCAGTTTTTTGAATTTTGTAAGGATATGGAGCAAGATAGCATAAAATGTTCAGAGATGAAAAGTTTGTGCCTTGAATTCACATCTTTTGCAAAAAACAGATTTCAAATTGGTTGGGGCATTGCTGAGAAAATCGCAAAATATGCTTTCTGTAAGCAAGCAAACAAGCAAACAAGTAAGTTAATCAGCAAGAAATCTCAATAACGAGAAATTGTAGAGACTTCTAGTTTTTTACATTTGATCCGTGCTACTCTATAGAAGAGCTGTATTGTTTTTAGGCAAGGTAGGAACAGCCGTTGCTTCAGAAAAAGCAAAAAACTTACTTTTCTTACGAATTTTTCAAATTAAAAGTTCATTGTGATTTTTTTTTAAATTAAACTTTGGATGAAAATTTTTTTTTTGAGCAGAGAACCAAGTAGGAAATACATTTTCAATTTTGGACTAGGGGAAACCCTAGTCTAGATCAATTTTCTCACTTTTTGTCGAGTGTTTATCCAAATGGATTGAAATTTTGCATAAATATTCTAGTGCTTAAAACAAATACAAATAAAACAGCCTAAAATTTTTTTGAGCAAAGAACCAAGTAGGAAATACATTTTCAATTTTGGACTAGGGGTGACCCTAGTCAAAATCAATTTTGTCACTTTTTTCTTCGAGGGTTTATACAAATGGATTGAAACTTTGCATTAATATTTTAGTGCTTAAAACAAATACAAATAAAACATCTTTAAATTTTTTCGAGCAAAGAACCAAGAAGGAAATACATTTTCAATTTTGAACTTGGGGCGATCCTAGTCAAAACCAATTTTGTCACTTTTTTCTTCGAGGGTTTCTCCAGATGGATTGAAACTTTGCGTAAATATTAAAGTGCTTAAAACAAATACAAATTAAATATCCTAAAATTTTTTTGAGCAAAGAACCAAGTAGGAAATACATTTTCAATTTTGGACTAGGGGCGACCCTAGTCAAAATCAATTTTGTCACTTTTTTCTTCGAGGGTTTATACAAATGGATTGAAACTTTGCATTAATATTCTAGTGCTTAAAACAAATACAAATAAAACATCTTAAAATTTTTTTGAGCAAAGAACCAAGTAGGAAAAACATTTTCAATTTTGGACTAGGGGCGACCCTAGTCAAAAACAATTTTGTCACTTTTTTCTTAGAGGGTTTATCCAAATGGATTGAAACTTTGCATAAATATTCTAGTGCTTGAAAAAAAAAAAATAAAGTATCTTAAAATTTTTTTGAGCAAAGAACCAAGTAGGAAATACATTTTCAATTTTGGACTAGGGGTGACCCTAGTCAAAAAAATTTTGTCACTTTTTTCTTCGAGGGTTTATCCAAATGGATTGAAACTATGCGTAAATATTCTAGTGCTTAAAACAAATACAAATAAAACATCTTAAAATTTTTTTGAGAAAAGAACCAAGTAGGAAATACATTTTCAATTTTGGATTTCGGGCGACCCTAGTCAAAATCAATTTTGTCACTTTTTTCTTCGAGGGTTTATCCAAATGGATTGAAACTTTGCGTAAATATTCAAGTGCTTTAAACAAATACAAATAAAACATCCTTAAAAATTTTTTGAGCAAAGAACCAAGTAGGAAATACATTTTCAATTTTGGACTTCAGGCGAACCTAGTCAAAATCAATTTTGTCACTTTTTTCTTCGAGGGTTTATCCAAATGGATTGAAACTATGCATAAATATTCTGGTGCTTAAAACAAATACAAAAAAAACATCTTAAAATTATTTTGAGCAAAGAACCAAGAAGGAAATACATTTTCAATTTTGGACTAGGGGCGACCCTAGTCAAAATCAATTTTGTCACTTTTTTCTTCGAGGGTTTATCCAAATGAATTGAAACTTTGCATACATGTTCTAGTGCCTAAAACATCTTAAATTTGTTTGAGCAAAGAACCAAGTAGGAAATACATTTTCAATTTTGGACTTCGGGCGAACCTCTTCAAAATCAATTTTGTCACTTTTTTCTTCGAGGGTTTATCCAAATGGATTGAAACTTTGCATAAATATTCTGGTGCTTAAAACAAATACAAATAAAACATCCTACAAATTTTTTGAGCAAAGAACCAAGTAGGAAATACATTTTCAATTTTGGACGAGGGGCGACCCTAGTCAAAATCAATTTTGTCACTTTTTTCTTCGAGGGTTTATCCAAATGAATTGAAACTTTGCATACATGTTCTAGTGCCTAAAACATCTTAAATTTGTTTGAGCAAAGAACCAAGTAGGAAATACATTTTCAATTTTGGACGAGGGGCGACCCTAGTCAAAATCAATTTTGTCACTTTTATCTTCGAGGGTTTATACAAATGGATTGAAACTTTGCATAAATATTCTAGTGCTTAAAACAAATACAAATAAAACATCTTAAAAATTTTTTGAGCAAAGAACCAAGTAGGAAATACATTTTCAATTTTGGACTTCGGGCGAACCTTGTCAAAATAAATTTTGTCACTTTTTTCTTCGAGGGTTTATCCAAATGGATTGAAACTTTGCATAAATATTCTAGTGCTTAAAACAAATACAAATAAAACATCCTAAAATTTTTTTGAGCAAAGAACCAAGAAGGAAATACATTTTCAATTTTGGACTAGGGGCGACCCTAGTCAAAATCAATTTTGTCACTTTTTTCTTCGAGGGTTTATCCAAATGGATTGAAACTTTGCGTAAATATTCTAGTGCTTTAAACAAATACAAATAAAACATCCTAAAAATTTTTTGAGCAAAGAACCAAGTAGGAAATACATTTTCAATTTTGGACTTCGGGCGAACCTAGTCAAAATCAATTTTGTCACTTTTTTCTTCGAGGGTTTATCCAAATGGATTGAAACTTTGCATAAATATTCTAGTGCTCAAAACAAATACAAATAAAACATCCTAAAATTTTTTTGAGCAAAGAACCAAGAAGGAAATACATTTTCAATTTTAGACTAGGGGCGACCCTAGTCAAAATCAATTTTGTCACTTTTTTCTTCGAGGGTTTATCCAAATGGATTGAAACTTTGCATAAATATTCTAGTGCTAAAACAAATACAAATAAAACATCCTACAAATTTTTTGAGCAAAGAACCAAGTAGAAAATACATTTTCAATTTTGGATTTCGGGCGACCCTAGTCAAAATCAGTTTTGTCACTTTTTTCTTCGAGGGTTTATCCAAATGGATTGAAACTTTGCGTAAATATTCTGGTGCTTAAAACAAATACAAATAAAACATCCTAAAAATTTTTTGAGCAAAGAACCAAGTAGGAAATACATTTTCAATTTTGGATTTCGGGCGACCCTAGTCAAAATCAATTTTGTCACTTTTTTCTTCGAGGGTTTATCCAAATGGATTGAAACTTTGCATAAATATTCTAGTGCTTAAAACAAATACAAATAAAACATCGTAAAATTTTTTTGAGCAAAGAACCAAGAAGGAAATACATTTTCAATTTTGGACTAGGGGCGACCCTAGTCAAAATCAATTTTGTCACTTTTTTCTTCGAGGGTTTATCCAAATGGATTGAAACTTTGCGTAAATATTCTAGTGCTTTAAACAAATGCAAATAAAACATCCTAAAAATTTTTTGAGCAAAGAACCAAGTAGGAAATACATTTTCAATTTTGGACTTCGGGCGAACCTAGTCAAAATCAATTTTGTCACTTTTTTCTTCGAGGGTTTATCCAAATAGATTGAAACTTTGCATAAATATTCTAGTGCTTAAAACAAATACAAATAAAACATCCTACAAATTTTTTGAGCAAAGAACCAAGTAGGAAATACATTTTCAATTTTGGATTTCAGGCGACCCTAGTCAAAATCAATTTTGTCACTTTTTTCTTCGAGGGTTTATCCAAATGAATTTAAACTTTGCATTCATATTCTAGTGCCTTAATTATCTTAAATTTTTTTGAGCAAAGAACCAAGTAGGAAATACATTTTCAATTTTGGACGAGGGGCGACCCTAGTCAAAATCAATTTTGTCACTTTTTTCTTCGAGGGTTTATCCAAATGGATTGAAACTTTGCATAAATATTCTAGTGCTTAAAACAAATACAAAAAAAACATCTTAAAATTATTTTGAGCAAAGAACCAAGAAGGAAATACATTTTCAATTTTGGACTAGGGGCGACCCTAGTCCAAATCAATTTTG